TTAGAGACAAGGATGTGATGTGGGATGGTGTCAGAAGCTTTGTACAAGTCTAGGCAGATGATATCAGTTGCCCTTTCGTTATCCACCCACACTGCAGTCCTGTCGTAGAAGGCCACCAAATTTGTCAAGCGTGATTTACCCTTGGTGAAACCATGTTTACTGTCACCAATGAGCTCCTCATTCTCCATGTGCTCTAGTATAGTTTCCAGGAGGATCTGCTTCATGATCTTGCTCCTGAAGAGAGATGCTGGGTTTTATTTTTTAACAGCAGCCTTTAAAAAAAAAAGTGGATTTCCACACCCCCACACCCCCACACACCCCCCTTTAGGATTTAGAAGAATTGCTCTTTGAACTCAGAAGGGGTAGTTCATCACTAATGGATTGTGCAGGGTCAGAGATGGAGGTGTGAAGAGAGAAAAGGCCTCAAATAGGGGAGAATGAAGATGTAAAACAGAAGGTCACACACTGTGGATCTTTCTTTGCAGGATCAGTTGTACTGTTTATTGCCTAAACTGATTTGAGCGGGGTTTTTTGTCTTCTGAAACAGATGGACATGCACGTCTTCCGGCAGCAGTCCCCAGTACAATATATGTGAGCAGATGATCCAAATCAGAGAAGACCATATGCGTTTCATATCAGAACTGGCTCGTTACAGCAACAGTGAGGTGTGTGGGATTAGAGCTATATATGCAAATCTCACATTGCTAATTAACAGTTATTGTTAAGTATCTGAAGAGCAGGTAAACCTCAGGTGAGGTAAATGACACACCTTTGTCACCTGAATCAAGAAAAGCTGGCTACTGGGCTAGTACCCATTCTCTGCATGATATTTGCACTATTTAAATATAAAATAATGATGGTGCATTGTACACGCTGCAGACTACTTCTGCCTCTCGCTGTATTTGTCTGGGATACGTATCCTAGAACTTTTGGCATTTGTCTTTTGGAATAGGTTATCTAGCCCTTACTCCAAGTGGGTGCTTGTAACAGTTTAAATGAAACTTGAAGTTAAGAGATTAGGAAAAAAACCATGCACACACATACACACACATAAAACACATATAGATGTATAGTGTGTGTATATATATGTATAATTGATGTTTTGAATTCAGTGTTTTGATGATGAGTGATACCACCGGTTTCCATCTCTTGACCAAAATCAAGTGAAGTTTAACTATGTAAGTCTCTAGAAAAAAAAGCTGCTATTAATGTAGGAGTCGGTACATGATGCTGTTTTAATGCTTGAGAGAGATCTGTGTAGAAATTTGGCTATGGATGCTGGATACGTCATGTTATGATGTGGGCTTGTTTTTTTGGTTTCGTTAATAATCTGTTAGGTGGTGACTGGGTCTGGTCGACAGGAAGCTCAAAAAACAGATGCAGAGTATCGGAAGCTCTTTGATCTCTCTCTCCAAGGCCTGCAGCTTCTCTCCCAGTGGAGTGCACATGTCATGGAAGTGGTAAGTTATCTGGGAAATAAAACCAGAGGAAAAAGAGGTGGCTTGGTGAGGTTGGACAGGCTTTGCTTTCATGGAATAAAAAATGCATGTTGTGTTTTGTTCCCTTAATTCCCCTCTTCCTTCAGTCCTTTTCTCCTCCTGCTCCAAACCCCATTCTCAGAGGAAGGCACAGGTTCTCAGAGGCTGGGAGTAATGTTGCCACTTTGAAGATCCAGTAGCTCGTACAGTCTCATACAGTACATTCAACTTTTTATATTTCATGGACAGGTGGTCACCTGTGAGTCTTGACCAGGTGTTTTTGTTGCTTTTGATATGTACATTTGGTAGACTAAGACACTGTTATTTTCCTCTAAATGTTTTAAAAATTCTGTTCTGTTAGAAATAGCCATACCAACATGCAGTCATGCAGGAGGTGATAGAACAGCTTGAACTGGCTATGCTTACACACAATTTACACAGTAAATTGAAGCATGTAAGGTCTTAACCAAAGACACAAAAATGGATGGAAAGGCTCCCATGGCTTAGGCTTGTAGTCAAAAGGAAAGTAAATGTGGGGAAAGGAAAACTTGAAGGAGATGAGGGAGGGGAAATAAAGAACCTGCACAGTTGTTTCTCTGTATTTTAATAACTTATTTTAAAACCAGACATCAGTTAGAAAAGTGACTGGTTTTTTCCAGTAAGTAACTGCCTAAGGCAGAAATTGGAGGAGTTCTGTTTATGCTGCAGACACTTAGATGGAAGCTGCATGGCTCACCCGCACCAAAGTATGTTCTAGGAAGGGTTGAAACAGATGATGGGTTGCGTGAGAGAAGCCAGACTTGCTCCCCCTCTGCCTCTGATGCCTGAGGGAAGGGAACATCAAGCCATTTGCACTGTGCAAGTCCAGCGCGGTCAGAGTGGGCATAGCTACAGACCCAGTTTTCTTTCTCTTTTTTATTTTTAACTGCCTCTCTTAAAAGCCAGTAGATGAGTCATGCTTTCTCCTGTATTATGCTATTCCTATTTAAATCAACAGTGTATTTTACGGTGAAATCATGGTGGTCTTTTGTCCTTCTTAAGAAGGGTTGCTGTCATCTATTTCTGGCCTTTGCAACTCCCAGACTCACTCCCTTTATTTATACTTCATATTTGTTTAATAATTTCCCCAGTGTCGTCTTTGTAGCACTTAGGTTGCAGGGTGTGATGCTGCTCTATGCCATAAGTAAATTGGTGCAAATATGAATCCATTACAGTAGGAAAAATTATATTATTCTGTAATCGAACGCTTCTGCAAAGATAGCATCAACCAGACATTACTATTCGCTGAACTCAAACGGTGAGAAAATTGTATTGGCTACGATTTTTCACTAGATGTACCCTGATGGATATTGATCAGCCTGATGCTGCTCGGGAACATTTTGAGCCATGGTTGCAGTGACTGAAAAGATAGTATTTAAGAGAAATGCATGCAGTGCAGATGATATTGTCACAGCTAATACAGCTATTTCCATACCTTTAAGCCTAGTAAACATAAAAAAGAAATCCTCAAAACTACAGATTTTTTCAGTTGTCTTTTGAATTCTGAATGTGAATATTCGGCCAAGTTGGAAGCTCCTCTTTTTGTGTGTGGGTGTGATGGGTTTCTTTTTTATGCTCTGAGGTCTTTCTGTGTTTCTCATGTTCGAAGTGGAGAAGAAACTTTCAAAAGAATTTGTTAGGCAAATTATTGTTTGGCATTTCCTCTGGACAGAAGTTTCAGAATTTAGGCAGGTTTTGAGAATAGTACCAAATAGTATTTTTCAGATATTCTTGAAAACACTGGAGTATTTCTTAAAGCGTGTTATTTGTGTCCAGCTATGTATTGTGTTTCTCAGGCCTTTCTCCCCCCCTGCCCCCATCTTTTTTCTCCCTATTCTGCTGTGTGCACTGCAGTATTCGTGGAAGCTGGTGCACCCAACTGACAAATACTCTAATAAAGATTGTCCTGACAATGCGGAAGAGTATGAAAGAGCAACAAGATACAATTATACTAGTGAGGAGAAGTTTGCTTTGGTTGAGGTAAGATAATTTTTTTTTTTAACAGGGATTTTCCAAAGATTAATTCTGTACAAAGGAGAACATTCTCTAGAAGCATTTTCTATACCCAGTACAAAAAGACAGCATGCCCTCTGTTGATTCTGAAAGAGCATGTTTTCCTCCATTTAATATGTAGAAGGAGCATGGGAAAGCTATCCTTTATCTTTTGGAACTTGTTATTTCATTTTCTAATTTTTTGTATTTAAAAAAGAGCTTTTTGAACAATTACACAAAATACGAAAAACACTTTTTTTTTTTTTTTGGTCTTTGCAGGTGATTGCCATGATCAAAGGTCTTCAGGTGCTGATGGGAAGGATGGAAAGTGTTTTCAATCATGCCATTCGCCATACCATTTATGCAGCTCTTCAGGACTTTGCCCAGGTCACACTGAGGGAGCCATTAAGACAAGCCATTAAAAAGAAGAAAAACGTCATTCAGAGGTAGCATTCTTGTTTTCATCTTCTCCCATATTCTTTCCCCTAAATCTTACTAAATTAGTTGCAGAATTGCACAGCTGTTAAATCTGGCCTCTTCAAGTCCTTACTCCTCTACTAGCCTGTCTGGTATTTAGAGTTACCTTGGTTGAATATGTATTGGAAGCTGAAGAAGTCTGAAGTCAAAGATGAATGGCTGCCAACGTGGCTGCGCTGAAAGTCCAGGCTGTCTTGAGCCACCTAAGACTACTGCAGTAAGAATGGTGTCCCCTGTTATTTTTATTTTAAGGAAAGATAAGTACCATAATATTGAAAGCAAGGCTAGCATTCTTATTTTGAAGAAAGGTGTTACTGTTCACCTTCCTTATATTTGCAGTGTTTTCTCTCCTCGTGTCTCGTGTTTACATCCCACCCCATAGTCTTATCTCTGCCCTCTTAGCATCCTGCCTTCTTTCTTAGCTTCTGCTGCTTGTGGCTTATTAGCATCACGCTTTTCCAAGTGCTCCATCTGCCCACGTTGACTGGTGGCATTTCCTGACATTTTTTTGTCCTAATTGTTTGCTTTTAATTTTGACTTGTTTACCATTTGTTTATTTTCATGTTCATTGCAAAGCTCTTAGAGGTGAAAGCCTTTGGCTAATCAGACTATTGCTAATGCTCCGACTGTCACAAAAATACTGTCATAAGCTAAAAATAAACAAATTACTCCAAATTATCGAGTTTTCAGGGAGAGTCTTCTTGTTCCAGGGACTTTCATGAAATATGGAAGTATTACTTTCATGCCTGTTCAGATCTGGGAGGAGGCATTTGCTGGATCATTCAACGGGATATGGCTGGCTGTATTTCTGACAAGTACCTGAATTCCAGTTCAGTATTTGGAGTTAAATGGATAATGTTGTTTGTATAAATTCCAGCTGAACTGTGGAGTTCTGCTTGAAACAGGAATTCTGCTGCTTCTTTTCAAGCCATTAAATTTGTTCTGGTTTGAATGAATAATCTGGTTTTGTGGTTTAGGAGAACAAAATGGCTTGATGGGCTTGCTAAGGATCCCAGAGGTGAATTCTTGACAAGTGACACGTCTCTGCTGACCCAGTTTCAGGGGTCAGCTTTCCTCTGACAGAGGAGAAGGGCTCTGGGCTGTCTTTGTTGATAAACAATGTGGAGCAATGGTTTGGTGGATGTGGCCTTGAAGTTGTGGGCAAAGCTGTTTGCGGTTGCTCTGCGTTCCCCCCCAGCTCCTGAACGCAGTTGCAAAGCTTCTGTGCTCGTGGAAGAGCGCTTACAGAACGTAAGGTGTTCTCATGGGCGCGCTTAGACACGTGCCGGTGTGAAGTAACGTGAGCTGTGTTCAGTGTTTTGCAGGCCATCAGGAAGACGGTCTGTGACTGGGAAGCGGGTCACGAGCCGTTCAATGACCCAGCCCTAAGGGGAGAGAAGGACCCCAAAAGTGGCTTTGACATCAAAGTCCCAAGGCGTGCAGTGGGACCCTCCAGCACTCAGGTATTTTCCTGTCTGGTGGTTGTGATACCTGTCAACAAGTATTGCATGACCTGTTTTCTCTCTGGCCTAAACTATTTAAAAATTGTAGTTTGGGGATTTTTTTTCTTTTAATGCTAAAAATCTATTCTGATTACATTTATATTTACAAAATTGATACATACTTAACCAAAATCCTCTCTCTGAATTGCTGTCACTTTCTACTGTGATGCATAATTTTTCCAAGTGTTCAACCTCTTTAATTTGACTTCCTGGGAAGAAATATTTTCTCATTGAGCTCTTAATGTTTTTGAAGTCATATTTTTGAACTATTTGAATTATTTCTTGACCGGCTCCCATCTCTGCTATTGATAGTAGATTTTTTTTTTGGTTAAATTCCATTATTCAATGGATGTCTATGTCGTTTTAAAATATGTTTAACATAGAAACGATTGCCTGTGAAATATGAGGGAGAGTATTTCACTTCTGCAAAGATCCCCCTTACTGTTCAGAAATGAATGATGAAACTGCTCCCTAAAATCTATTTAATCTGCTGCTGCCACTCAAACAAGAGGTATATCCAGTATGTTTTCTGTGGTAGTTGTTGAAATCCCATACACAGATGCTCGTTCTTGTTACCTCTATATAATTATCTTTTTTATTTTCTTTGTGGATTTGTTTGGAGAGTGTATGTATTCATAGCTCATCTGAGAAAATGAGGTACTGAGCACTTTGAATGAAAAATTGAAGGCAACTGTGGTTTGTAAAGACTATAATATCTAAAATCTGTGGGGAAGAGAGCATGTATGGGTAATAAAAAGTTGCTTAAATTGCAGTAAGATGGGTTTAATGAAGAATCTGTTTTGGGAATTGGAAAAAAATGCTTAGATTTTTAATTTTCTAGAGGAAAAAACTAAATATCAGCACCACTACTGTGCTTGGTATGTTTAGAGGCTTTGTTTCTTTCACTGGCTGCAACATGCTGTTCAGAGTACTCGGTTCTGTCTGCTTTTTCTGCTCTTGGGCTGGCACGCTCATCTGTCTCGCCTGACGGGAGGAAGGGAGGTCAAATATATTGATTTTTAGCTAGGTTTTTACTTAGTTTCATGCAGTTCTAAACTGGCTGTGTATGAATTGGTAATACTTGGAAATCTTTGCGAAATCATTTGAGGATCTAATGGCTCTCTGGGCATCCCCTGAAATGAAGGGGAACTTTTCTCTTCACTCGAGGGAGCACCGGACCGCTGTGTTTATTCTGAACGAAGCAACTTTCCTCTGTGCCCTCCTCTGCATGCTTACTGTGCTGCTTTTCCGTTTTAACAAACTAACACGTTTTCTCTGCTTCTGTTTCCCCTTCCTTATTCACCCACGTGTTGTTATTAACGTATTCTCTCTCCCCTGCCTGCCCCTGTCTGTTGGTTTTTAGCTCTACATGGTTCGCACTATGACAGAGTCCTTGAACTCTGCCGAGCTGTTGAAGCAGCTCAAGGCTCTGGGACTGGAAAAGCTATTGCATGTGACACACAAGTTTCTGAGGCAGTCCTACATCTATCCGCCTCTTTTAAACTTTGGTGGTAAGACATTACTTATTACTTTTACTTTTTGTGGCGATGTGAACTGTTCCACTGCAAGTGGTGTGCCGCCGAGTGTCGGCAGAGGTCCCCTTGGCACGGGCAGGCGTTTGTGCTGGTGCGTAGGCTGGCGCTGCATCTTCTCCTCTCGCCGGAAAGGCTCTTACCCACACAGGGCCAGCTGTCAGTTTGAAGTGGAGCAGTCGATTACTGGTAGTCATTCTCAGTGTTGCTCAACTAATGTGCCGTGTGTATTTTCCTTTTTTCCCCTCCCCCCCCTTTCCACCACAATTGTTTCCTTTAATGATACAGCTTTACATGGTGAGAACTATGTTAGAGTCCCTCATTGCTGACAAAAGTGGTTCCAAGAAAACCTTGAGAAGTAGCCTTGAGGGGCCCACCATATTGGACATAGAAAAATTCCATCGCGAGTCTTTCTTCTACACTCATTTGATAAATTTCAGTGGTAAGATATGTAGATGATCAGTGTCCAGCTTAGCATGTCCTAACACCTCTAACACGACCTGGGAAATGTTTCCGATTGCCTAAGCCCACTTACCTTTGGTTTATTTGTCAAAAGCCTTGGTCTGTCCAAACTTTTTCTGGGACGTGGTATTCAGTATTGTGGTGGGATTTTTATTTTGACTTGTGATACGTTTGTTTATAATGCGTCAAATTTCATATTGTTACCTCCCTCTTTTTTTTTTTAATGTACATATGTGTATAAACAAGGGACAGATGAGCCTAAGCGCACTGAAATTTTTAAAAGGAAGTAGTTTTTGTGTTTGGGTTTTTTTGTTTTGTTTTGGTTTTTTTGTTTTAAGTACAGAGGAAACAAATTCTCTGTTGTGGTAAATTCGATGTCATTTCACTACTCTTACTATTCAGTTAATTGTAATCGGAAACATGCTGTCCTAAAGAATTCACCTACTGACATTGAATGTATCTAGTCTTTGTCATCACCATGCTGTGTTGTCTTTCATTTTTGTTTTGCTACCGGCCTCCTTTACCCTCAAGAAAGGGGGAGCCTGTTAATGTCAGTCATAATGCTGCTGGGAACAGCACTTCAAAGGGTCTTCAGAAGATCTTCAGGTGAAAACGTCATTCCCGATTTGGCTCTCAAGCCTTCTTCAAAAGAAAGCTTGTGCCGAGTGTTTTCTGGAGAGGTGGGAAGCACACCGCCGTGCCCTTGACAGTGGCCTCCAGGGCTTTTTTGTTTTAATCCCTCCTTCATGTGTCCATCTGTCACTTCCTGCCCATCTAATCAACGGGAGCACGTGGAGCGATTCAGTTCTCCAGAGGGAGAGACGGTATCGGTGGATCCGGTACCATCTGTCCTCTTCGCCTGCTGCTTCCCAAGCTCAGGGTACAGCTTTCTCAGCCCCCGACTGAGAAATTGAACTAGAAATCCCCCTTTACTGGTGTATGTCGTTTCTCTGTTTAACTGATAGTCTGGTCCGCTTCCACGCTTTGTTCTGCACCACTTTGGGGCCCAGTGCAGAGTTCAGAACTCTCTGAAAAAGTCACGGGCTTTACGTTTCGAATTTGTCTTACGTATTTGGCCTATGCATAGCTCTAGTGACCCACGCCTGCTTTTTTTGTTTCACATTGCATCATCAGAATCACACTTGTATTGTTCATAATGTCTTTCTTTAAGAAGTGTAATTCTTTCCTCTTTCTTCTGAAAGAAACCCTCCAGCAATGCTGTGATCTGTCCCAACTGTGGTTCAGGGAATTCTTCTTAGAGCTGACCATGGGCAGAAGAATCCAGTTTCCCATTGAGATGTCCATGCCTTGGATTCTGACGGACCATATTTTGGAGACCAAAGAGTCATCAATGATGGAGTAAGACCTACCTGTGTTCTTCCACTGAATGATTATTCTTAATGATTGCCATTCCTTACTATACTGTTACTGCTTTAATTGGTTTTAACAAGCAGTCACTGAGAAAGTATTCTGAACCTCCATAGAATTTTCCTCTTATATTTGCAAATTTCCAGATTCTCAAAGTTTTCTTTTTGAAGTGAATGATTGAAATAGGAAACCTTTCATGTAAGTGTCATTGCACCAGCCAAATCCGTTGTTCCCTGAGTGAGTTCTCCTTACTTACTTCTCAGAGATGTCAAATATAATGCACAGTGGTAAAAACATAGCTCAATTTTGATGGAAAGCGGCATCCAGAAAACAAGTTTCAGACTACAAACTTATCTATGCAGTTTCTTGAACTAACAAAAGACTTTCTTGAATGAGAAACTGTGATGTTTTTTATAGAACACTCAAACAACCAAAAAAAAATTCTGCTTGCATGAACCACATGTAGATTACAATATTGACTGGCTTACGTCTTGACTGCACCATCCTAAAGAATCATAATGTCTGTAGACCTGTAACTTTTTTTTTTTCATTCTTTTTCATTCAGGTATGTTCTGTACTCTTTGGACCTTTATAATGACAGTGCTCATTATGCACTTACTAAATTTAAGAAGCAGTTCCTCTATGATGAGATTGAGGCAGAGGTAAAGTAGCCTTACCTACTGGAGAAAAAATGGTCTGTACCTGAATGTGGGAATGATAATAAAGGCCAAGATCTATTATAAGTGATTCAGGGAAGTTCACAGAATCTTGGAATGGTTTGGGTGGGAACAGGCCTTAAAGATCATCTAGTTCCAACCCCCCCTGCCATGGGCAGGGACACCTTCCACTAGACCAGGTTGCTCAAAGCCTCATCCAGCCTGGCCTTGAACATTTCCAGGGATGGGGCATCCACAGCTGCTCTGGGCAACCTGTTCCAGTGCCTCACCACCCTCTCTGTGAAGAATTCATTCCTGATATCTAATCTAAACCTCCCCGCTTTCAGTTTAAACCCATTACCCCTTGTCCTGTCACTGCAGGCCCTTGTAAAAACAAACTGAGAAGAAAGACTAGAAGATGGGTGACTGGTTGGGTGATATGTTGTGAGGAAACCTGTAGAACTGTGCAAAATGCTTCCTATTAATTCTGAAAACTGAATGTTGTCATTTCTTATACTGGGAGATTTGGATGCATTAACTTGCTTAATTATGTTTGATAAACAGTGGGAGGCCTTAGATAAGCCCCACATCTTTCAATTTTAAGTATCTCTAAATGCACAATTTTTTCCCCCCCCAAGGTAAACCTGTGTTTTGACCAATTTGTCTACAAGCTGGCAGACCAAATATTTGCGTACTACAAGGCAATGGCTGGCAGGTAGCTATTCCAGGGGTGAGAACTTTTATTCACGTAGTTCTGCTCTGCTTTGCTGCCTAACATACTTCAACGTTTTCTTCCTTTCTTAATAGCCTGCTTCTGGATAAACGATTGCGTTCGGAGTGCAAGAATCAGGGAGCAACCATCCAGTTGCTACAGTCCAACCGCTACGAGACACTCCTGAAACAGCGACATGTCCAAGTGAGTGAGGTCATTCTTGGTTGTATTTGAGTTGCCTGGCAATTTTGCCATGGTGTTGATTTATGTAGGTATATAAAGCTCTTTCTGTGCTTTATCTTCTGTCATGTAAGTGGCATAACTGACATTTGAGATCAGCTTTTTTGTCATATGAAGGAGTAAGTGAAGAAAAAAAAAAACCCCAACCCTTAAACATCCTGTTTTAATGCAAATGTCTGTTACAGTTAAGCAAACACGAGCCAAATAAGAACGTTACATGTGGTAGCATTGTCTTCCTGGTGATGCCTTTCACCAGCTTTCAGTATGTTGTCAGCACAATGTCATGGAAACATAGAATGCTGCTGTAAATGCAACATGTGATGTCAGTTATTCTTGTGAGAATTGGGTTGTAAATTGTAGTACCTCTTTTGTTCATTAACTTATAAATTTTGTCTGTCTGCTTTGCCTGTGTGTGTTTGGAATGCAAGTTCACCACGTGAGAGTCTGTTCGTCCGTGGGGTCTCATAGTCCTCGTACAGCTTGTCTCGTAATTCGACTCTCAGTTCAGAAATTAATAGCAGTTTTTTCCTTTAGCTTCTTGGTAGGTCAATAGACCTGAACCGACTGATCACTCAGCGCATTTCAGCTGCCATGTACAGGTCAATGGAACTGGCAATCGGTCGATTTGAAAGTGAGGATTTGACTTCCATTGTGGTGAGTGTTGTGCTGCACTTTTGCCGGAGCACTAACACTGCAGTTGGGGGTCGAGATGCTAGTTTTGTTTTGTTGGAATTTTAATTTATTTAACTTTTTTTTTTATTTGCAGTGAGAATGATCAAGATCTAGGTCTCTTACTCTTGGTCTTTTGGGGTTTTTGGTTTTTTGTGTGTGTTTTGGTGTTGGGTTTTTTTGGTGGTGGTTGTTTTTGTTTCTGAGGCTCCCCCCTCCCTCTTCTAAATCTGTATTTTTATTTTTAGTGGCAGAAGGAAGAAAATCTTATTCTGGCTTTGGTGCACGTTCTCTAAGTATTCTCTCAGCAAATAGTTGTATAGTTGTTCCTGAAAGGAGAAGAGGCGGAATGACTAACAGGCAAAATTGTTTTATCCTAAACCTTTGTGTTATATATATATAAATGGGAAATAATTTAAGCAGCCTTATTAGAAAAGTAACAAAACTTTTCCCTCTGATATTTTAATTGTTCTCTAAGTGTGAAATCATACAGTGCTATGGTTGGAGTTTGTCTGGCCTCAGAAGTCTGGACTGACAAAACCTCTTACCAGAGAAGCAGCTTAGTCATGCAAAAGGCATTCTTTTCGTCATGTCCAGCACTGTGTGCTGGTAGTTTGATGCACAGCCAAACAAAGCCACTGGACATTCCTTCACTAGGTCACTGCACAACAACCTTTAAAAGCAGCGCTTGGGATTTTTTGGAGTGAGAGGTTGTGTTCTTTGGGGTTGGTGTTTTGAGTGTCTGATGTCAGCAGTGGATTTATTTTCATTTTTATTTTATTGAAAGTGCCAGAAACCATAGTAGGAATTTCTTGTCAAGAGGAGAAACATGAAAGGCAGTGCTCATACGTAGTAGTGCTAGTCTGCAGCTACTGATTTTGTGGACACCTTCTCAGCAGTTGAAAATGTCTGGTCTGATCTTTCAGTGCATCTTACCATCTTCTTCACTGGAGTAAAACACCAGTAAAACATGAGAAGGGTTTATGGTAAATGATGTTTTCCCCTACCAGTACTGTTATGATAGTTCACCAGTTGCCCTACTGAGCAGAAATTTGTGATAGCTTGTAAGGTAGGAAATGCAGAAGATGCTTCTTGGCCTATGTCTGACCCCACTTAGTTGTTGGTGTTTTAACTGTTGCTCAGCGGAAGGAGAGTTGGCACAGATCTGTGTTTGAGACCCATCTGCAGCGTGGACCAGTTGTAATGAATACCCTTGAAGTCTTGGAGGGTTTTGGTAGGAGATGGTTACAAAACAATCCCCAGAGCACTGATTCTTTCCAGCTCTTCTCATTAAAGTAAGAGACTGGGAGAGAGGCAGCTGTTCATTTTGATGACTTCCTAGTCTCCATTCAATTAAAGTTATTTATGTACTTTGGTAAGTCCCCACTTTATTAAATGCACTGCTCACTCTTCTTTCCTCTTGTTTTTTGTAGGAGCTGGATGGCTTGATAGAGATAAACAAAATGACTCACAAGCTTCTGAGCAGATACATGACCTTGGACAGCTTTGATGCCATGTTCAGGGAAGCCAACCACAATGTGTCAGCCCCTTATGGAAGAATCACTCTCCACGTCTTTTGGGAACTCAATTACGATTTCCTTCCAAACTACTGCTACAATGGCTCCACTAACAGGTGAGTATGGCAGCCTTTTGTTTGCAGCTGTTCTTCTGCAGCCTCCTTCCTCGCAGATGCTGACAAGCCCGTTTCCATTCATTTAGTGTGTTTTCTGCTTCTGATGCTTTACTTGAAATGACGCAGCATGAGTCATTTCACTGAGTACTAAGTCAAATGTGCGAAAGCCTGTTATTTGTCCACAGCAGAAGTCAAGTGTTTAACCGCAGCATCCGAGTTCTGACGTTTTAATGACTTAGGTATGATATGCTGAAAAATAAAGTGTGTCTAAAAATACTGCCAAGTGCGTATCGGGAAGATATTTTGGTGAACAGGATCCTCAAATGTGAGATGATGGAAATTAATGCAGAATCAGGAACATGCTTTTATGTGAGGAAAAGGGTTGTTTGCTGGAGAAGAGTTCGGTGTTCACTGCAACTACAGTTGCAGTCCTGAAGGGGAGTGAGTGACTGTGCTGGATTCAGCCAGGAAAGGGTTAACTCTCTTTACCGTGGCTGCCAGGAAGCTGTTCCTGGATGCAGAGAGCAGCACTGGTAGGTTCTTAGCTGGCGCTGGGCAATGCCTGCACTGAATTCAAGGTCTTTCTCCGTTTCTGATCCTGCAGCTGCGTTCCCAGCTCTCGCTCTCTCGCTACCGGCAGTGCAGGGGACACACGGTTCAGGCACCTGACCCAAACTGACTTGGTCAGTTTTACGAGCTTCCTTATTTCTTTTTCCTCCGATTCTTCCCCTCTGCTGGTGGAGGGGAGGGGGATTGGTGAGAGCGGCCTCGTGGGATTTTTGCTAGTATGATATGCTGAAAAATAAAGTGTGTCTAAAAATACTGCCAAGTGCGTATCGGGAAGATATTTTGGTGAACAGGATCCTCAAATGTGAGATGATGGAAATTAATGCAGAATCAGGAACATGCTTTTATGTGAGGAAAAGGGTTGTTTGCTGGAGAAGAGTTCGGTGTTCACTGCAACTACAGTTGCAGTCCTGAAGGGGAGTGAGTGACTGTGCTGGATTCAGCCAGGAAAGGGTTAACTCTCTTTACCGTGGCTGCCAGGAAGCTGTTCCTGGATGCAGAGAGCAGCACTGGTAGGTTCTTAGCTGGCGCTGGGCAATGCCTGCACTGAATTCAAGGTCTTTCTCCGTTTCTGATCCTGCAGCTGCGTTCCCAGCTCTCGCTCTCTCGCTACCGGCAGTGCAGGGGACACACGGTTCAGGCACCTGACCCAAACTGACTTGGTCAGTTTTACGAGCTTCCTTATTTCTTTTTCCTCCGATTCTTCCCCTCTGCTGGTGGAGGGGAGGGGGATTGGTGAGAGCGGCCTCGTGGTATTTTTGCTAGCCGGAGTTAAACCACGACAGTGACGGAATTAAAGACAGGAAGGTATGCTCTAAAGTTTGATCGTGTAGAAGGCGCGGTGCTCGGGACTTTGCATTTCTGGGCTTCCTGCTTGTGTGCTGCTTTTGGGATTTGTGTTGCTTTTAGTTTTGACTCCGGCTTTGGTTAAAGAGCTGTGAAGTGACAGGAAAGTGATATTGAGTATTGAGCTGTGTGAAGAAGAGGAAACCTCTCCTCATCTTTCACTGTCTCCATGGAGAGCTTTCCCTGTCTGATGTGTTCCTTGATGGTTCTGTTGCATTTTAGAGCCAAGATGCTGTCTGTGCAAGTTTAAAAAAAAAAAAAGGAAGTAAAAGGGGTGTTTTCGGTGGTTAAGTTTTAGGCAAGAAACTTGTGTTACATAAATCTGTCTCCATAGGAGTGCTGAATATATATATGGAGCACTATATGAAATACATAGGAATGTGTTTCTGAGGAAGCTACTGTGCAGTTGATGTATGTGGAGATCAATATTGGAATATTCACTTTGGTGTATTAAGAATCATATAAGCATAGTATTAAAAGAAAATCGTGGTGCAGTGCTGATCCTTCACCTGTCAGCTTTATTTGAAGGATGTTCAGCAGCTCCAGGTGTGTTCACCCTGGCTGTAAGGTTAAGACCACTGTGCTTGGGAAGCAAGAGTGGAATGCCAAAAGACATTAGCAGGATACTGTAGGACCGATGCTTGTCTGTTTAAAAACTGTGTACACAAACCAAGTTAGGTTGATCCTCAAGCTCGTTGGGTAGTTATTTCAGGACAGCTAATTTAAGAGTTGATGGAGGGAGACAGATCTTAGGCAGCATGTGTACCATGTGTCCAATTTCATCACAGAATTGCTGTGGTTTCAGTGCAGAAAATTGATGTGTTGCACACGCTGCGTGGTGCCCACTGATATTTTTGCTGCAAGAGAGAACAGGGAGTTCCTAGCCTTTTTATGGTTCTTAAGCACATTCTTTGTCTATGGCTGCCTTGCTGTTAGCATGAACTATAAATTGCTGAGCTCTTCTGCATTCAACTGTGCAGGTTACTCTGTGCATATACAGGAGTGCACAGCTGTGAGAGCTGCTGGTTTAATTCTTGGCTCTTGATAGGTCATGTCTTGCATGACAGCTCTGTGTAAACGAGGGAAGAAAAGGAAAGGCTGGAAGAAGGAGAAATGCTTATGATGGAAAGCAGAGAGGTTGCTTGGCGGTGAGGGGTTGGAGGTAGAGCTCCCAGGACATGTGTAATGTGTAACTTGCCACTTGTTGACCACAAGCTTAGGTGTAAGGGTCCTTCTTTTAGTGTTTTGGTCAGATGAATTTATATCCAGTACCTTTTGGAGCTCTTTACCCAGGAACGCTTGAACATGGTGGTTTCAAACATTAGTAAAAGAGTGTTTAGAAACCCCGTAGGTTTTTGATCTGAAGGCTTTTCACGCAGAAGTACTGAAACATGCCGCATGTTTAATTATTTGGGACTTTGGAATTTTTTTTGTATCTGATAATGTACTGAGATTAAGCAGTGGGGCTGCTATTAAAAGATTTAGCAATTCAATAATTGCAGTTGCCAGTTTTTGGAAATTTAGTCTCATTAGTGCTGGCCAGCCACGCAGCTGTGACCAGACTGTGTAACGGTTTGTGGAGGAGGAGTGGGGAGATGAGCGAGGGGAGCTCTGCAGGTGAGCATTAGCAGTGGAAATCCAAGGGTGTTCTTAATCCATCTGTTGTCAGTCAGGAAAAGAAGGGAACAAAGTTTTGGATAATAGCATGAGCATGTGAACTGCAGGTGCTGGCCTCTAGCAACGATCAGGTGTTTCTGTAGAACAAAAAAGGTGGGATTTTAGTACATTTCTGGCCCTTTGCAGGTGGTAGATTTTTTTTCTTCTCCATTGCTTTGTCCAATCCTTTTTTTTTTTTTAAAAGCTATGTGAGGTTTTGACTTTCATGGCATGCAGTAGCGAGGAGCCTGCGGTGAAGCTGTGCACTGCGTGGAAAAGTCTCTCTCTGTTTGCTCTCCAGCTGTTGCCTGCCAGTTCTTCCAGTGAAGGTGACCATGAGCAACCATTTCCCACTTGCCTTGTCTGTGTGCTTGGGATGTTTGAGCCCTCTCTCATGCTGACTCTCAGCTGCGTGGTTTTTCCAAGCCAGGATGTTTCCACACCAAGGATCTTTTTTCATGCTTATGCCCACATCTGTGCTTTTTTCCATTCCCCTGTGTCTTTGTGGACTGGGGCTGTCCAGAGGGTTCAGCTGATGCAAGGGGAACTTCCAGATCTTTGTTCTTTGTTCCTTTTCCATTAGCTGTAGTGTTTCTTTTTCTGCCTTTTTTTTTTTTTTCTTTTTACTAATTCAAAGCTGGTCTTTTCTTTCCATGACAGCAGATTTTGTTTTCAGGGCTAACAGAGGAGCAAGTGCGAGACAGCCTAGGCATTTGTTTGAATTGAGGATTTTCTGTGCTTTCTTGACACACACGATACAGGCTTCTGGAGACAGTAGTCAGACTTGTAGCTCCATCTCCTCTCAGCACATGATCCAAATCTGTGTTCTCTGCTAAAAATGCATGTGTACAGCACTCTTCCAAATGCAGTATGACAGGTTTTGTCCAAGGATACAAATTTGTCACAGAATGAACAAAAAGACCAGCATTTTATTTTTCGGTGTTCCTGCCCGTCCTCGATTCCTTTCGTGAGTGCACTCTCTCTGATTTCCAGACTAGTTTTCACAGCAAAACAGCTGTGTCTTCTCGTCTTGCCATATACTCCCTGATAGTCACTCTTCAGAAAGGTTTTCAGCCCTTGCAGACACTGCTGGAGCGAACCCGAAAAACAGCACTGGCAGTGAAAACTCCCTAGTTTCTGCTACTAAGAGCCAAATGGTGCGGTTATATAGGCTGATGCAAAGTAGGGGTGACTGTAGTCAAATACTCCATCGAATTTGGCAACAAGTACCTTAACTTCCCCCACCTAAAAATGAAAAAGAGGTCTTTTTGCCAAAAGGCAAGGTGACAGCAATAGAGTGGAGGGTATCTGTTACTCTTCCATGCTCTGTTTCGTCTGCTGTTTCCTCACACTTCAGTTTGTAGCCTCATGTTCTCTGTTCATCTTCACATTCGTGTTCAGGAAGGGTGAGTTAGTTCTAGCATTCACCAAGAGAGGAGGTGGGGGGCTACCCTTTGGTCTGGTAGACAGGACAAGCTAATTTGAGAAGGCTGGAAGTTAAAAGTGTTTGTATCAATTAGACAGGGATGTGCAGAGGGACACTGTGCATGAGCAGGGAGAGGGGATTGTGATATCTTATTACTTCTGAGATGCAGCTCATGAAGTTTATGAATAGGAACAATAGGACAATAGGACAGGACAAGGTTGATAGGACAAGAGGAAATGGCCTCAAGTAGCATCAGGGGAGATTTAGATTGGATATTAGGAAAAACTTCTTCACTGAAAGAGTGGTCAGACACTGGAACAGGCTGCCCAGGAGAGTGGTGGAGGCACCATCCCTGGAGGTGTTCAAGGAACATGTAGACGTGGCGCTTGAGGACATGGTCTAGTGGGTATGGTAGTGTTGGGCTGATGGGTGGACTAGATGATCTTATAGGTCTTTTCCAACCTCAGTGATTCTGTGAAGGAGGTTGTCTGATCTGGTGCCTGCAGTAGCAGGGAAAAGGGCTCATTAATTGAAATGGTCTTTCAGGTTTCTCCTTATTTTTTTAAAATAGATTGTGGTAATTAGAATCTTAATATCAGTTAGTGTGGTTTGTAACATGCTCACGATGAACTCCTTCCTGGCAGGTATCAGAAACACCAATACAAAATTATTTGATCCCTAAAATACTTTGGAGCTCATGTTGTCCTTTAGCAATCACTGTTGGAAAGCCTTGGTAAGCCAGCAGGCTTTTCGTCTGCTTAATCTACTTTGATTACAACCTGCGTTGATTAAAATGGATAAATTACTGTGAGATCATCAACACTGATTAAAAATGAAAAGAACCGATTATCTTCTTGTATGCCAAAACCTGTGGCCAGCATTATCCGAGGGAAAGTATAAATTTGCCTAGCTTTAGTGCTGATATTCAAAGAGCTTCAGTCCTTCCAAGAGGTGCTTGTGTTTCTTGGAGGAGGAGCAGGAGGAAGCCAACCAGCAGGATGTCAAAAAGAAAACACACACACGGAATGAAAAAGTTTGAAGAACAGCAGGTGATGCTGAACTGTAAAGCCCCTAGTTCTGAGGGAAGAAACCTCCAGTATTTCTCAGAACCATATACTGGGATCAGTCACGTACCTGCTAGAGTGCTGCACTCTTCTCCCTGCTGTATCCTCAGCACTTAGCCATGGCCCCACTGTAAGATGCAAAATGACTGTCTCTCTTGCTCCTACTTCCTTTTCTTAACCTCTTTCTTCCTCTCTTGGCATCTTTCCCCTACATCCCGCAACGAAGTATAAAATGGGTGCTTGCTTCAAGTTTTTAAGAAACCTTTAAGGTCATTTTGCCACTATTCTAAAACACTAGAGAGGGAGAAACCCCCAAGAAGGTAGAGGAGCACCGGGGAGCACACGGGAGTTGTGTTTGTGCAGAGCTAATGAAACTTCTGTCTCCCAGAAGTTTCTCTCTGGTATTTCATTTCTGAGGCTTCTCAATCCAACTACAGCCCAGCTGGTCAGCTCCCAGGCACTAATGACACTGTAGTTCAAATATATTCGTAATACCTTTTTGAAACGAGAAAGAATGATAGTTAGAGCTTCCCAAGTCATGGGATGCACCCACATTTGTGTTCTGAAACACGCTTTTTCCCTGTGAGGGTTTTAATTTAGTGAGAACAAATTGGCCTTTGCCCAATATGTCTGCCAGCTGAAACCCAGACTTATCTCAAATGGCATGGCATCTCTCTGCATGTCTTTCATTTCAGAGATTTTCTTAGGGCTTGAAAACTGATGTCAGTTTCAAAAGGAATAGGATTTGGAGAGGAAGAAGGGGGAATAGAATAATCTTTGGGACTGTCATATTTGAATTCCATCAGTTGTTTACCTCATCTCTGGTAAACTCTTGAATCCGTTCTTTGCACAGAAACTTCATTAAAGTCATCTCAAGACTGAGTTTTCGGTTGCCATGTAGGTGAGAGAGGAGAAACTTGTAAACTGAGGAAATACGAATTTAAGGAGACTTAAATTTCTATATATAGTATTAAAAATAATACGCATGAAGGATCTTCTCTCAAAAGCTCTAAATGCTGGAATTCATCAAGTGCACGTATTTTGGAAAGACAGGGTTAAAATACAGATGAACCTGGTTTTGAGCAGACTAAAAAATACAGAAAACCTTGTCCTGAAATTACAGATTCTCACAAGAATGGTTCAGAGTACTCAGAAATAAAACAGTGGAAATAATTGTAAGCAACATGGTGCAGTTTACACATGTTTGGGTAAAAAACCTCTTCAATTGCATGGCTGTTTTAGTTTCAGCTAATACTGAAAATACGTGGATTTTCTAATGGGTATATTGAAACGAGAATTTCTGTGTTGTTTCTAGGAAAAATGATTAATGAATCATTTATTTTGTATGTTAAGTTCAAATATTTTAAACAAAACCAGATCAAGACATAACTGTGTCTTACGATATGTACTGCAAACTTCCTTTTCTGAAACCTTCTCCTAGATGTGTTTGTTTTACTCAGCTGTGATTCAGGACAGCCTGATCCAATGCAAACGTTTGTACACTCCTTGAATAGCCTTTTTTCTTCTTCCCTGCATGCAGGGTGCACCTTTGCACCATCTACCAAGAAATCCTTCTTACCAAGTTAAAAAACAAAGGAGCCATCTTGCCCATGAACACATGCACCAATAATTTTGTTCAGTTTAGTAAAGTTAAGCAGAATCAGAATTGTAGTAGATGCTGATTAACTGCTTCCTTCTTGTTAGTTGCTCCTCTTTGTGCTCGGCTGGCCTAGAGTAGAGGTGAGAAATACCCTGAGACCCTGCACACCACGGAAAGAGCAGAATCCCACTAAGTGGTGGAGAGGTGCATCAGGATTTGTGCCCAGGTTTTGGGCAACGCAGGCTGTGTGCCTCCCCGGTTTCAACTTGGGCTGAAAGGCCCCTGGTCAGGCTTTGATTTCAAACCTAGACAAAAAGCAGCGTTACGCAGGGTCAAGCGCATTATGCACGCATCTACTAACCTGGCGGGTAATTAATGAATTATTTATTTTGTTTTAATAGATTTGTTCGGACCGTGCTACCGTTTTCTCAGGAGTTTCAGAGAGATAAGCAGCCTAATGCGCAGCCACAGTATCTCTATGGATCAAAGGTTGGATTTAATTCCCTTTATATTTATGGTTTGCTAATGTTTAAAGGTATCTTTTTTAATTATAGGAATTATAGAATATGAAAGCTATTAAAAATGGACTCAAGTACATGTTGTGAGCATTTTAAATTCAATGTCAGCGCTTTTTTTTCCGACTTGGCTGTGAAGCTCACCTTATGTTTCAGCCAAAGTGCAAGTGGTTAGTCTGATGGTTAGTCTTATCTGACGTAGCGAAAGATAAGTCCTCCTGTCAGCCACCCAGCACTGCACAGTTGCTTATAGTGGCAGAGCAGACTCAAAGGAAAGATGAATTAGTCATCTGGTGAAGTGAGAACAAGAGCCCATCTTGGGTGCAGCTGCTCCCTGGTTACAGTGATGAAGACTGTGATGGCAGGAGGAAAGGGAACAGATAGGAAAACCTGCTTCAGATGTGATCTGACTTAAAAGAAATACAGATTCTGATCATCCTAAACGATCAGATACCAAACTGCTTAAATTATTTTAAAAAATGGTATTATTTCTTTAGCATCTTCAACCCGAGGACCTCAAAGTCTCTGTGAAGAACTTGGCCTTCTGGCCATCTCCTCTCCTGCATTAGCATCATCTTTCTTGCTTTGCAGATTGGGAGTGTCCAGGCTTACGCAAATTTTCAGTAGCAGTGCACACAATACGCTGTCATGTACTCTGTGCCTTAAGGTAACGCCCAACACCGAGGTTGGAAATGAGCTTATGTGGGTGACGAGTTGCGAGAGTGCTTGGCACAAGGGAATAGTCGTGGCCTTTCACGGAGCTACCTGAGTGAGGAATGTCAGCCGGTGTTGCAGGTGCTGCGCCCATGTGTGAAGTATTGTGTGTTGGAGGAATAGATTTATTCTCCCTGATCGCCACAGATTTATTTTCTTGTGCTTCAGAATTATTACCTGAGTCTTAACAACAGTTAAAGGCACAGGACATTAACATATATCTGCATTTTTAATACCCAGTCAGAAATATTGATCTACTTCCAATAGCAAGAAAAACAGCACTTATATCTTCAGCAAATCATTTGAGAATATTTACCAAGACGTCAATCTTAATTTTGCATCGTTTTCTTGAGTATCAGGGAGGCAAAAATAAAAGTATGAAAAAGATCAGTAAGAATATAAGGATTAAATTAGAGGATTTTTAACTAAAAAAGTCTAAAATTATATACTCAATTACATTTGTAATTTATAAAAGTGTGCTATGTCGTTTTCATGTCTAGCTACTTTAATTATCTAGCTACTACTTACACGTGATAATAATACTTGTGCATAATTAGTCCCTGACTTATTGTTATTTTCTGCATATCACATCCTAGTTATATGGTGCAATATCTGTGATGTGATTTGCTCAGGAAGCCAGCTTTTGAGATCATAGAATGAATCACAGACTGGT